TAAGAAGGATGTAAAATTGTTTTGTACCCCATCTTTTAAATCATTGTGCAGTTTATCAAACTGCACTGCATCTCGTGGTGATAATTTACTCTTTATATATGTTGCTACGGTTACTTCATCTTCTCTCAGTGTTTCTATACCTTGAGTAGATGACAGTAAGCCAAGGGAAAAACGCATAAATCTTCTGATTAATTCTGTAAAATATAAAAAATGTTTTAGCTTGTGTATGTTGTGTGTGTATATGTGTGTGTGTGTATGTGTATGTGTATGTGTGTGTGTATATATGTATTATGTTACAGATTTTTATTTTACAATACATATTGCATATTTATATATTTATATATCACACAACTTATATTTATTAAATATAAATGCATATACTAAAAAATCTGAAAAATTTGACAATTATAATTTATTAAGACACATATATGCTAAAATCCAAATCTATTTGAAAAGATTATCATCATTTACACCTTAATGTACAACTTAATGTACAGAGATTTAAAAAGTAAATATGAAGCATGCCATCTTGCTAAAATTAATTAATTCTTAAATTAAGACACTCTATATCCAATATTTTTTGTTAAATTACATGCAAAGGACTTTTTCGAATAAGTTTGATTTATTTTAGAACATAAATAATACAAATTAATCAAATTTCGTTAAAAAGACCAGTCAAGATTCCTGCTCTAAATTTTTTAATTTACCTTACTATATATTCTCAAAATAAGATATTTTTTAAAAAAATATCTCTTATCATATTAAGCAATATTTTATTACTGAAATATGAGACATTAATAACTTTATTACTGAAATATGAGACATTAATAACTCTTAATTACATTGTTTTGAAAAATGAATTGTGTAGCAATTAATTGGAGTAATTGACTAATATACAGTTGATATTTTCTATCAATTAATATAATTCCGACAATGGTATAACTTTATTCAAAACTAACCTGGTTTTTGTTCGCCACATAGAGAAATAATCATATTCTGAACCAGATCAGCGATAGTTTCAGCTTCAATGGGATTCATGTTTGTATCATATAATGATTCCTATAATCTTATTTGATGTTGTATTATATATAGATATTTATTATATATAGATATTATTCCTCGCGACACACCGTTTAAATGTTTAACATTGTCTTTGGATCAATTATATCGCAATTTAATTGAGCGGCAAAATACATGTATGACAGTGTATGTTGTGTATACACTGTACATACAACACATGAGTCATACGTCTCGATCAGTCTCGATCGGCTAGTAACAAAATTAGTAATGAACACAGGAACAGTGCCACCATGATTCTTGTCCAAGAACTAAAATATCGATCATGAATTACGTCACATAATTCAAACAACCGATAGCCAGTGTTTGTCATTCATGTGTGTGTGTGTGTGTGTGTGTGTGTGTGTGTGTGTGTGTTGCAATATTAATTTTGTGAAATTAAAAATTAAAAGATAAAATGAGTTGTTATTATTATGTGGAAAAGTGCAATAGTTCAATAATTGTAAAATATTTCAAACACAATAGGTGAGAAAAGATTTTTACGATCGAAGCAAATATTAGGCCGGCAGTCATAGTTCGTTCCTATTTTAAGATCGTCTTAAATATCGACGAGATACTATTAAAGACGATCAATCGGTTCTTATGGAAATTCGCGGATTGAAAATTTAAATGATTAAGAGTAAAAAATTAATAATACTTTTATTAATTCATAATTTATTAGTTTCATAGATACGAATATATGTTTAAAATTTAATAATACTCGATTTTTATTTAAAACTGTGATTTTAATGTTATCATCCGAGTTTGATTATCAATAGAGATGATAATTGCAGAGAAAAACTTGTATTTTTTTGATAATATATAAGATATTAAAGCATTATATAAAAGTATGCATACTTATATTTATACAACATTTATATAACAAAAAAAATCACGAATTTAATGAATTGCCGAAATCACAAATTTTTATTAATTGTCGATAATATCATCGTTCTTCAATTATCTCTAGATTCTCGGAGCTCTCGACAATCATAAAAATTTGTCCAGGACTGACCGTCTTTAATAGTATATCATCGGTGATTTGGATAATGTAGTAAACTCATGATTTTTTGTCTTATATTATATAAGCGTTCTATAAATAAAAGTGTACTTTTTAATGTAATAATAACTCATATATTGATATTTTATTATATATGATATTTTATTATATATAGTATTGCATAAATAAGTATGTATATTTGTAATATTACAATATAGCGATTTATTCGGTAGAGGTGCACTAGTAGTGTGCACAATTTAACAATTAATTGCAAAGTAACAAAAAGCAGCAACACATCAATTTTTTATTAAAAATATTGTATTGCGCGGATTTTGAGTAATATAAAATTATTATACTAATAATCGTTTATTAACATACAATTATATGGTAAGTATATTACATGGTAGTATACTTATCAAGTA